ACACTGCAGAAGCTTCACTTTGTATCCCTGACTTGGTTGGTATTGTTCATGAAACCAATTCAGAAATCGAATGACGTATTAAACATATAACAGGCGGCACAGAAGCTGCAGCAGTGAGCCAAATTGGTACAGTTTTCTCTTGTTTTAGGGAGATATTTCTAATCCAGGTTCTACCCAAGTGTTACTTTTGAAATGAGCGAAGGTTTGGTGCTGGCACAATAGGTGGTGGCTGGCCAGGACCCAACAGAGGTAGTGTTGCCCTCTTTGCCCGATGCTAGAAGTAGGCGTTTATGCCGTTTTTCTGACCTTGCAAAGGCCTCTGGGTGACCTCCAGAATCTGGAAGGAAACACATGTTCTTATGAGGTCTGAGCACCACCCCCTTATTTTTGTGCAGGGCTCATCCCTAGAGATATCTCATTCTTGAACTTTTCTCCCGACTAAAAAGTCAGGAAAGTGTTTTTGTTTTTTTATTTTGTTTTTTAGTTCATTGTTCGAAGAATAAAGGTTAAACTGAGGATATATTTAACCTCCTGCATATTAAATTACCTAATTTAGCTAGGTCTGCAATATTTAGCAGATTTCCTTGGAAATCAGTTCCACTGAACTCACCGGAGCTTGTTTCCAAGTAAACATTGGAATGCAATCATTGTTAAAGGCAGATTTAATGTGAAATATAGTCAATATACAACTTTATCAGGAATACACTTCAGCTGGTAAGAGAGATTTGAATTGACTCGAAGACTCAAGACCAATTTTTTACTGAGAAAACCACCACTGTTGGCCAAAGTTTATTTTTATTTATTTTATTTATTTAGAATATGTGTATGCCGTCCTGTCGCAAAGGCCTCAGGACGGCTTGCATAAATAAAATAATATAAAACATAACACAAATGAATTACAGATCCACACTGGCTGCAGTTGAAAGCATATAAACCAATGTTAACAGTTATTAAAATATTGTTGGAATAAAAAGGTCTTAACCTGGTGCTGAAAAACAAATAACAACGGCGCCAGGCAGACCTCTCTGGGGAGCACATTCCATAGATGGGGCGCCACCGCAGAGAAAGCCCTCCTCCAGGTACTTTGCCTCCTAATATCTTTCACAGAGGGTTCCCAGAGGAGGGCCTCTTCCCCTGATCTCAGGGGGCAGGAGGGCAAATATGAAAGACGGCGTTCCTTTAGGTATCCAGCTCCCAAGCCAGTAAGGGCTTTATAGGTAATGACCAGCACCTTGAATTGGGCCCAGACTTCGATAGTAAGCCAGTGAAGCTGATAGAGGACTGGGCTTATATGAGAATAATGCCCAGTCCCCGTCAGCAACCTGGCTGCTCTGTTTTGCACCATCTGAAGTATCTGGACTGTCTTCAAGGGCAGCCTCACATAGAGCACGTTACAGAAATCCAACCGGGAAGTAACCGATGCATGTGTCACTGTTACTAGGCAATCGTCCTCCAGGTAGGGACGCAGCTGATGGATTAACCGAAGCTGAAGGAAAGCGCTCCTCGCCACCGCAGTCGTTTGAGCTTCCAGGGACAGCTTTGGGTCGAGGAGCACTCCCAAGCTGTAGGCCCTGTCCTTTAGAGGGAGTGCAACCCCATTCAGGGCAAGGTCCAAGTCATGTACCCAGGAGCTCGATCCACTCACCAACAGGACCTCCGTCTTGTCTGGATTGAGCTTCAGTTTATTGGCCCACATCCAGCCCATTACCTCGGCCAGGCACTGGTTCCTGGTGAATCACTTGTGGAGTCCAGCTCGTGACGAATCTGAGCGATTTTCTCCTTAAAGTGCTGGGCAGAGTCGTCACAGTGGGCCATCAGAGGTGGTACAGGATCTTTCTTAGGGCCAGGATGTATCAGTCCATGTACCACTCGAAAGAGCTCTGCTGGACGGCACTGTGAGGAGGCAATGGAAATGGAGAAGAATTTCTTTTTCGCCGCCCTCACCACCACAGCATAGGCTCGATAATAAGCTCGTAGGCGTGTTCGGTCAGATTCATCCCGTGATTTCCTCCACCTACGCTCTAGATGGCTCCCAACCCGCTTCATCGCCCATAGTTCAGGAGTATACCATGGGGATGAACGGGCTCTGCCGGGTAGGAGAGGACGCTTAGGAGCGATTGTGTCAATAGCTCTGGCCATTTTCCCATTCCACAGTTCAACCAGAGCATCAACAGGAGCCCCAGCTTTATCAACCGGAAAATCCCCCAGAGCCTTCAGGAATCCATCCAGATCCATCCGGCTCCGAGGGCGGACCAACACAATAGGGTCTGCACCCTTACAGAGGGAAAGGCTGGTATCAAGCTCGAACCTCACGAGGAAGTGATCTGACCATGACAAGGGAGCCAGACACAAATTCCTCACCCTCAGATCACCCTCTTCCTGCCCCATCGAGAAAACCAGGTCCAGCGTGTGTCCACGTTCATGGGTCGAGCCTATGACATGTTGAGACAGCCCCTTGGCCGTCATGGAGGCCACGAAGTCCTGAACTGCCCCAGTCAGAACAGTCTCAGCATGGAGACTGAAGTCCCCCAGGACCAACATCCTGGGGGTCTTCAACACCAGGTCCGAGACGATCTCTGTCAGCTTAGGCAGGGAGTCTGTTGGGCAGAAGGGTGCACGGTACACCAGCAGAATCCCCAATCTGTCTCGGTCGCCCAACGCCAGGTATAAGCACTCTAGACCCAGTCTCAAGAGAACAGGAAGCCCCGCAAGGGAAATAGAAGCTCGATAGATTAAAGTGACCCCCCCTTCCCTCCCCTCCAGGTGTGGCTGGTGCTGGACCAGATACCCGGGCAGGCACAATTAAGAGAGGGATCCATCCCCCTCTCTCCCGCCCAGGTCTCTGTAATGCAAGCCAGGTTGGCCCCCTCATCCACAATTAAGTCTTGGATGAGGGATGTTTTGTTATGGACCGACCTGGCATTAAGCAGCAGCACCGTCAGGCCCGAGGGGCAGTTGATAAGCATACCAGGAACCTTCTGGTTGGGGGAATAACCAGAAGGGGGAACAAGTGTCAGCCATCTGTCCCTCCTTCTTCTATGCTGACATGTTAAACCCCCAACACCATATCAACCATTGCCCAACACCAACCCAATGGTGGTGCCCACGCGCTCCCCAGGCAACCCCATAGTAGCAGCCAAATGTGAATCCATTAAAACAATCCAATAAAATACCATTAAAATACAACTAAAACCCTCCAACCCACCCAATTACAAAACACACACACACACGCAGAGTACCTGGCCAGCCCAGCCCCCGCATGGCCCCAGACAGCGGCGACACCCTTGGGCCGTTGCCCTTCGGCCGCGGCCGGTGAGTTAATCCCACGGCCCCTCCCTGCACCCCGCCCCCAATCCAGCACAGCTGCCACCCACAGCGGCGGGGTAGGGGCAAGGGCAGGGCCCACGGAGAACTCGCCGGCAGGATGGAGGGCCCGCAGGCCAGCAGCGTCCCGGTCCCCGGTCCTGCGGTGGCCGCCATCTGTCCATCGGGGTGGTGGTCGCCATCTGTCCATCGGGACAGCATCAGCGGGCGGGTCGGCGGCAGCGATTAGTGGAGTTGCTTCTGCCCTGGTATGAACAACCAGGGAATTGACAAGTCTGTGGAGAGGCCATGAATGGAGGGGGCAGTGAAATACCAAACAGAATTGATTGATTTCGCTCCAAATGTGCTTAGGATTGTGCCTTAACTTGTGCATGCTGGACAGTGATCTCTGAAAAAATCTTCGTCAATGATTCTTTGGAATCCCTATGAATACACACTTGCAGTAAACTATGATTTATCTAAAGCGTGTGACCTGCTAGCTAGAGAGTGAATGGTCTGAGACTTGATTGAGCTGAGTTTTATTTGTGCTGTTAAATTCCTTTCCTGCTGCTTATTAATCCCGCTGAGTAACAGATGGAAAAAAAAAGAGAGAGCTGCCTTGTTTGCTACTAGACAACACAATTCAAGTTGCTCGATAAATTTAGATGCACTTAGCTGCTAATGTGTTTTTGTTAAGTCTGTCCACGGCAGCCTCTGGATAGGGCTCTGTATGAGGCAGCTGTAAATACAAAGGCTCAATTCAGATAGGATGGTTTTGTGTGATTTGTGCTAACTATAGCATCAAATACAAATCTTGCTTTCAGCTATAAAATGTATACACAAACCTTCATACTTACAACAGGGTTCCCCTACCTGGTGCGCACCAAATATTTTGGACTTCTGTTCCCAACCAGCTCAGTTCAGGAATGCTGGAAGATGTTGTCCAAAACAGCAAGAGGCCACTCGGCTGGGGAAGGCTGCTCTGGAGTGGCTTCTTGAGTTCATTTGCAGGCTGGTCAGCATCCTTTTGATGGCCCAGCAGGTCATCAACTCAGTGTAGGCCATGTTTTCTGATAGCTTGGATCAGAGACCTTCCACCCAAGCATATTTAAGCTTCCTTAACCATAGTTTGGCTTCATGCTTGAACAGAAACTGTGTTCACATGATTGTGCAGCCCACTGTGGGTACAATATGGGGCATGCGGGAAGCTTTCTGAAGCAAGAACATCAGTCTGCTGGGGCAAATCATGTTTAATCATTCTGTCTGCACCGATGTTAAATATGATATTCAATGTGGTTTTCCTGGTTAAATGTGATTACAGTTAACCAGGTTTAATGTTGGTTTAATATAAGAGACATTCCACTTAGAGATTGGTTTAATGTTGGTTTAATATAAGGAACATTCTAGTTAGAGATTGGTATTGCTGCCCTTAGACCCAGCCAAGGAAATTCATAGTACAGAAGTAAGAGGGACTTGGGAAGGATCATATAATCCAACTGCCCGCTCCCAGTCAGGTATTAATACAAATGCCACCAGTGCAAACTCACATCTATAATTCTATTTATGGTTTCCAACATCTGAAAGCCAACATGAGTGGCAGGGGGAAAATAAATTTCTGATAATAGTTGATTATCTCATTGGACCCATGACTAAGAACCAAATGCAGGACACGGATAAATGCAGCTAGACGCCATGCACTTCTACCTCTGGCTTTATACTCTCCGAGGATCAGCTGCCCCTTCCAATTTCTTCAGCTATCTCTGCTCCCTTCCCCCCTCCTCTCCCAGTTTGACAGCGGTATTTGCTTATCAAGCATGTTGGCAGAATATATACTCAGAAATAACTATGACAAAGCAGGCTTAAAAGTTGTCCTGTGGGAACAAGAGAACTCAGCCGATGGGTGAGCTCTCTTTTTCTGAGGCTCCGTATTGTATTTCTGAAAAATGAGTGGAAAGGTCTGGCAGGGCCGATAGCCTTGAACTAAAGCCAGCCCCATCGTGTGGCTTATCTGAATCCTAGTTCCTTATTTGCTGCCGGTGGGTTTGCCTCCCTGGAAGGTGGGACCCGGAGGAAGCTTGTGATTATAATGGTCAGTGTTGGGACTGAATTATCTATTAGCTGCTCACGGAGCCTTGATATCCACAGATTCTAAAGCTGCTTTTAATGAGAAGCTGTCGGCTGCTAAGGGGTTGAAATGATTGAGACTCTGGTTCCGTTCTCGCCAAAGAAGTAAATCTGACAGTATTTCCCCAACAGACTCACTACTGAATGCACCACCCTATCCCTGCCTGCCCTGCAAAAGTTTATTTATTTATTTGCTTATTAAAAGCTTCTCTATCCCGTCCCCTACAGATGTCTCAGGATGGCTTACAATAAGTAAGTAGAATAAAGCAAACCCCATAGCGTCCGACCAGTAATATACTAAAACCCCAGTTAACATCAGTTAAATCTTAAAATAGCCAGAAAATAAAAAGGGTTTTGCCTGATGCCGAAAAGAATGTAACGTTGGCACCAGGCAAACCTCTCCGGGGAGCGTATTCCATAGTTGGGGTGCCACCACAGAGAAGGCCCTCCTCTGGGTGCTCTCCCTCCTAATCTCCTTCTAGGAGGGCTCCCAGAGCAGGATCTCCACCTCAGATCTCAGGGGGTGGGGGGCACATAGGGAAGAAGGTGCCCCTTCAGGTATCCCAGATCCAAGCTGTTTAGGGCATTATAGGTCATAAGCAGCACCTTAAATTGGGCCCAGACTTCAATTGGTGGCCAGTGCAACCAGTAGACGACCGGCGTTATATGTCAAAACCAACCGGTCCCCGTTAACATCCTGGCAGTTTGCTGTAGGTAGACAGCAGACAAAAGCAATCTTACTTTGTTCCTTTGGGGCTCTTAGGATATTTCAGGTTCCACCCTCCATGTGGCTGTAGACAACCCTATGGCTTCTAGGGGAGGAATCTGCCACTGGATCCCTCTCTTCTCCCACACCCCTGGAGCTGTCATGGAAGCATCATCTGCTTTCTGGCATTGTTAAGGGGATGGTGCAGCGTGTGGAGAACACAGGGAGGAGGAGAGAGCAAGGTCTGTAGAATCCTATGGCTTCTCCTTCATCCATCCCTACCACCAGGGGTCCATCTGGCTGGTTTGAGATTGTTCTGAGGAGGATCAGGAGACACAGTTTCCTCTGTCCTTCCAGCTTGCCAGAAGAGCCCAGAAGAGATTCTTGGAAACCTCCAAGCTCAGAGGCCTCCATCGGATGGGCAGGATTTCCATAGGAATTTGCCTACATGTCAGAAGAAGAGTCGCAGCCTCGCCTGCCAACCGGATATGCCCATGTTCTGTGTGTAAGGTTATGTTCTTGTTTTCCTGAGGGTGCATTTTAACCCATCTCCTACTTGCAGAGTGGAATGGTGCAACTGGAAAAGAGGTGTACAGCTTTGCTAAAGAGCATCCAGGTGACATTCTGATTCCTTTCCTTTGGGCACAGTGTGCCCCTGCATCTTGGACAGCTCTTGGGAAAGAGAGGGGAGCAGACAATAAACAGCCTTTTATATAGTTCTGGAAACAGCTTGGAGTGCTAATCTCTTGGAGCAGAGGTGAGCAGAAAGTTGATCTCCAGGTTTTTTTCACTCCCCTCACTGCCCAGTAGCTCCTGCCAGCTGGCCAATGCTTGGGTACGTTGGGAGTTGTCCAAGAGGACTGCAGATCTACTTCATGCCCTCCCTGGCCGTAGGGATTAGTGCTCCAGGCTATTTCCAGAGTGATATAAAGGGGTGTTTATTCCTTGTTCCCCTCTCTTTCCCACCACCGAGAGCTGTCAAATATGCGTGGCACATTAGGCTCAAAGGAAAGGACTCACAGAATGAGGCCTGGACTCTCTTCGCCAAAGCTGTTCACCTCTTTTCCAGACACCCCATTCCACTCTGCAAGTCGGAGATGGATAAAATGCACCCTCAGGAAATCAAGAACTTAGAAAAGTAGGCATGTCAGGTTGGCAGTCCGTGAGAGCAGCTGTCCCAGCCTTGATGTCTTCCAGAAGTTTTGGATTACAACTCCCAGTGTTCCTACCCATTGGCAATGCAAGCTGGGGCAGATGGGATCTGTCTTCCAAAATATCTGGTGGGTGTGAGGGAGGGGAAAGCTGTGCAGCAGAAAATTCTGAGAGTTGACCTGTTAGTTTGGAGGCAATATTTTCAAGAAAATACTTGGCATTGAGGAGTCACTTAAAGTGAATGCATTGGGGCAGCAGGATTTTGAGTTCCTGTATCATACATTCCACCTGAACACCTTATGCTGCTCCCTTTTTGTTCACTTGCTTTGCAAATTCAGTTCACTGGTTGCACTTAGTAAAGTAACTTTACTGTATGTACTTTGTACATTCTGTGCAAAATAGCTTCTTCCGTGACATTTCTTTTCATAACTGCATCCCTTGCCTTTTGTAGTTTTAAAGTGAGAATGCTTCTTGCTATCTACCCACCAACCTTGTAAGCTGTTGAATAAATATAGATCCTGGTTCAAGCATGACAACAACCCAGAGTGTGGGTTATTGAATCCTGGGTTGTTACATGTGAGCCACGAACTATGTGCTGTGAATTATGAACACCCAAGGAAGACATCCATGAACTGTGGGTTGTTTTAACTATGGGCTGTCATTACATGCAAACCCAGAACCATGGGACATTCATGGGTTGTTTTGCCAGGCTACAGGGACAGAAGACAAGAGTCTGTCCTCAGGCCAGTACTACATTGCCAAAGGCAATGACATTTTGATTATAGAAAATGAACAACTAAAACATGAGAGAATCAAACAACCCAGGAATTTTAGAAAAGCAAAAGCGAAACCAACCCTGAACTTCGTACAATTATCTGGCAAGCAAATTATGGGCAAACTCTTGATAAGGTATCAACCTATACTCTGGATTGTTGTTACCCATGAATCAGGTTAGTGTGTGTTTCATGTGATGTTATGGAATCACATTATATTAGCATTTCTTGCAAGATGAGGAAGTCCTAAGAAAGAGAGAGAGCAAGCTTAATGCAAACTTTTGAAGCAAGGAAATTTTTAAGTAGGATGCTGAACTTTGAGCATTGTAATACTTTACCACTTTTCCTGTATTTTTATTTTTATTTTTATTGCTATGTTTATGCATGGGCTGTTTATTATGCGGTTATGATTTAATGGCAAACAAATGCTTCATATTTCTAAGAAACCCTAATAGATAATGTCTGCCTGTCTTTCTTTTTTCACAGGAAAAAAGTGCCAGTTCACACGTAAGACTTAAGTCTAATAAAGAACTTCCAGGATTAGTACATCAACCTAGGGCAAAGTAAGTTTCCTCTTGTGTTTTTGTTTTAGTTTCATGAAATAAGATGACATCTTTCTGCCCAAGAGCATCATTTCCTCTCCCTTTCCTCCCCTCATATCCTATGTTATCAGGCATTTTGGCACACTTAAATTGCTAATTTAAACCACAGTGAATTGGCTGTTGCTTTTGTTTCATTTTATGTGGCGATAGACAGTTTCCCATTGACATTGCCTGTCTGTTGCTTTAAACTGGCATCGTGGCGTTGGCAGTTTTGGCTTTTTCAGAAAAATAGAAAAGTGGGATAGAAATATTTGAAATAAGCATCAAAGCAGAAGCCAGGGCTTATTTTCCTCTGAGCATGTGCCGGCAGTGAGCCGCCTAATTGATGTAATTACTGTCACCAGACATGGGTTACCATGACACTGGGAGCTGGCCAGGACGGGTGGCTGACGTGGTCTACCAAGGATGAGTCACAGGTTTGGGGAAGGTTTCTGAGCCAGCGAGCCGTCCTTGCCAGTCCGGATGCCACAACAGTGTTGCCCAGACAGTTATTTCGCTGGTTGGGTAGCTTCTGACCCACATGTGCAAGAGGAGAGAATTGGCTCCCGTGGCTGCTTCTCCCTGGTCTCTGCGCGTCACACACAGGGCAAGGACCCTCCTCCACTGGCCTAGTGCACATGTGCCCAGTCGGCCCCACTTCCTCTCTCCGTTCCTCTCAGACTGCCCTTGTGCTTACCTGAGGAAGAAGCCTCTCGCATCGTTTGGCCTTCTATCTTATTCTTCTATCTTGTAAGTCTTCTGTCTTACTCTTGCTGGCATTGTTCCTTCTTCCTTTTAATGTTTCACTTTACTTGTCTTGCATTTGTTTGATGGCATTACTGTCCTGGCTCTGCCATTTCACATTATTACAGGCGGTGCAACAGTCTTAGAACCTCCCATCCATAAATCCAACTTCAGAAGTTCTGGAGACCATGTGCAGAGGACAAGGGAAGGATGCATCTTTTCTCTTGGACAACTCAGGGGCTTATTCCATTGTGGAGGCCCCTCAGGGTGGAGCACATACAACTTGTTCTTCCTCTGTGCATAAAGAAAATTGAAATTGTTTCTTCCTTCAGGCTTCTCTTGCTCTCTTCATCATGTCTTAGGTTTCTCATGTTAGCTAGTTCAGAGAGGACGGAAATATCCATCTGTCAGAGTATACCTTGCCACGCTCTTAGCCTCTGACTTACTGTTGGAGCGTTTTTTGGTCGCTGTGCATCCAGCAGTGAAACTGTTCCTCAGAGGGATTCATAACCTTGCGCGGGCTGTTTGTCCTCCAGTTCACACGGGAGCTTTTCTGTTGCCCTCCAGGTTCTTGCATCAAAACCGTTTGAACCACGAGCAGCAACTGCCCTTTGCTTTCTAGCCTGCAAAGTGGTGTCTCGTCACTCTAACTTCAGCCCCTCATGCCAGTGAAGTTGCTGCCTCACAGATAGATTTGCCCCACCGCGTCTTCCACAAGGAGACAGTGGCGCTTGGTCCAGATACTGCTTTCCTTCTGAAAGTCATTTCCAAGCTCCACCTTAACCAGGACATTGTGAGACCGGAGTCTTGTCTTAGAAGCCTTCGTATCTTTTTATCTGCTATGGAAAAAAGAACCACAGGTTGCTTTTCTCCTCCTGGTCTATCACTGCTCAGGTTGTCCACACGATAAAGATGGCTTGTCAGGTACTCGAAATCCAATGTCTATGCGAGGGCACAATCATTCACATTTGTCAGAACCTACCAACTGGATGCTTGGGCTTGGGAAGCCTCGTTGATACCAGAGTTGGTCATTCTCATGACATCAGTGTCATATCTGTGTTGGTACCACATTGTTCCTTCAGTCCCAGGGCCACAACAGGTGTTCTTGTTGAACAGGTGAATAGGTGGAAACTCACTAGAGGCATGTGGAGGGGGGATGGGGAGGATCCTTCAGCGGGGGAAGCTTCCTGAAGTGAGGTCTTTAGCAGGCACAGAACCCATAAGTGTGAATGCACAGACGACCACTCAAAGAACAACGGCTACAGGGAAGCAGCCTGCCTTATTCTCCCCTCTGTGCTTGTGTGAACCCAGCTGTAGTACCGGGCCTTGAACCTGTCTGAAAATCTGGTGTCTGGCCCCAGAACCCGATTCCCTGGCAAAGATGTTGAGACCAAAGGCCGCTTTTCCCCACTGGACCGGCACAGCCAGCCCCCGTGCCGAGTGCTGGAAAACACGTTGGACAAAAGCAAGGGGACTTTGAGCATCTGCCTTTTCCACCGCTGGCACTGAGAGGGCATCTTCCCAGCCCGGGATCAGAAAACAGCTCTGCGCCGGTTATGTCGGAGGGGAAGTCTTTTCTGCAGCCGTTGTGGATCTGCTGCACCTTGGCAGAGAAGAGTCAAAAACCTCAGTGCCCTCTCTGCCAGCCAGCTGCGAATCACGGCTGCTTGCAACCCCCGCAAAACTTCCAGGGGGTTAAAAATGTTCGGGTGGAGCACTGGAGGGGGCCCAGTTAATCTTCGGGGTGGGCCCTGCTTCTGTATCCTAGTGTTCGTCTTCCTCGGGTCCATTGCTTATTTATAACGTACCTAATTAGTCAAAGGCCACTGTGCAAGGAAAGCTTTCCTGTTGGGCTTTGAAAGCTTTTAGCCCACAAGCATTTTTACATGCCTGTGTTTTCTCACATTAGATATTTGTGGCTCGGTAGTGAGAGAACTCCCTCTTCTTCACTGCCTGATCTTCTGGAAGCAGTTCTTACTTGCCAGAGACAACTAGGCACATGCCTTGTTTAAAAAAGTTGAAAGAAGAATCACTTGGGGCTGCTGGCAAGTAATGCAAAATACGTAGAAGAACGCAAAAGAACGAAAATGTTGTGAGCAGGGCTCTCCTTCCTCTCCAGCAGACTTAGATGGGTCCATAGAAGCACAAACCTTTTATTAATGCTGAAGAGGCCATAAAACAGTATAAATCAAATTAGCCTTTTGGAGGCCCTTCTGCTGGTATAAAAGCCTTGTATCCAAACTGAAGCTTGACTTCCTTCCTTCCTTCCTTCCTTCCTTCCTTCCTTCCTTCCTTCCTTCCTTCCATCCATCCATCCATCCATCCATCCATCCATCCTTCCCTCCTTCCCTTTCAGAAAAGCCTCTGACTCCAACCTCCATTCTAATGGCAAGAACACCACGCACTTCTTAATTGGTCCATTCACTTCCCCTTTCATCTCCCTACAGGGTCAAGAAATTCCCCCTCCATCTCCTCCCCACCCAGTTCCGAAATGTCTCCATCCATTTCCTTTCCCAAAGTGAGCTGGTTCCCATGCTTTGTCCAAGAACCTTCACCAGCTCATCCTGAAATGACTGAGGTCGCCTCCCTAACTCTGCTTCTTCACCCTCTCCTCATAACAGGGCTATCTGAGCAAAGAGTTGGGCCCCCTCTCGACAAAAAATGCAGTTGAACCTCACTAAAATGCAGCCATAGGAGAAATGGATAAAGCACTGTAGTGAGAAAACACTAGCCGCCAAGAGTTTCCTGGAACATATTGTTCTTGCGCTGTCGCTTGTCAGCCAACATGGTGCCAGTAACAGCGTAGCTCATCAAGGACATTCCCAAGCCCTAAGGAGACTACTCTCCCGCTCACTGTTTTGTTCCCGCTTCCATGATCAACAAGGCTGCCAGTAAGGCTTCCTTCCACGGATTGCCTTATGCTGGGAGGTTATCCATTTCTATAATGGTTCAGCAGATACAAGAATACATGAGAAAGTCATAGGGTAGGATTCTGTCTTATACTTCTCCCTAACGTGGTAACACTGTTTGAGGCTGTAGACCTTCCTTCAGACAGCAGGAAAGGAAAACACATGACTGAATATTTCTCTACTCCTCACCCCCAATAAGCCCCAAATATAAAGGAAATGGCATGGCAGAGAGAGGAATTTTCATGTAACCTTTGCCTCAACTTAGGCCAAACTATGTGGAAGCAGGGCCACCTCACTGGGAACTAGGCCATAGAAAGGGAAGACTTAGCTGTCAGTGTCAGGATGGTCTCGAATTGATGACAAGGTTTTGACTATGAGCCACGATGCAGTCAAGAGTCACTGGGTGACAAAGTTCAGTGGTACTGCCACCCCCTTTCCTCAAAAGCGCTCAGCATCCTGTATTCCTCTGCTGTTAAAAGCATGTTACTATCATCTACCATTAACCTGTGGGGAGCAGAGCTAATGACCATCCCCGTATCTAAGGCAGCCTCTCTGCATTGCAAGGCAATGGTTTTTGAAGGACAGAGAAACCGTAATGCAGGAAAGTTGCATGTCTTTTTCCGAATAGCTGTTTTGCTCATGCTTTGTGGCTCTAGGACAGGGGTCCTCAAACTTTTTGAGCAGGGGCCAGCTGACAGGTGCCAGGGGTGACCACGGGCCGCCGAGGCAGTGCTGGCAGGGAGGCGCGGGGCGTGCATGCAAGGCGGAGATGGGGGGGGGATGTGGGGCATGGCACCGGCTTGCTCACGAGGAGTTCGTTTCCAAGCGAGTCCAAAACGACCTCCTCACGATCAAGCCGCTGCTGGGTGCAAGCACGGTGAGGTGCCAGCTTGCTCGTGAGGAGATCATTGTTTCCCATCGAGTCCAAAAACGATCTCCCTGCAAGCAAGCCACTGCCGGGCGAGGCGCTGACTTGCTCATGAGATCCTTTTCTCCAAGCAGTTCCAAAACAATCTCCTCGTGAGCAAGCTGTGCGTGCACCCAGTGAGTGCAAAACCTGCGGGGTGGGCCGGTTAAAAGGGCATGGCGGGCCAGATCCGGCCCACAGGCCTTAGTTTGAGGACCCATGCTCTAGGATATTCATGGGCTCTCTGTGAGCAAAAGTTTAGTGTGCAAATCTCTCTTCCTTGACACTTTTAGGCCTGGCTTGGGTGAACTTCACGCGAAATGAGTGAAATTTGGGTGCAGTCTTGTGCCTTTTTAGGCTGGAATGGCCAAAAACTTTCCGCAGCCTCCCTGGCTAGGGAATACAGGGAATGGTAATTGGAT